ATAGGTGAAACAATCCCTCCTGTTTAAACACTCACACTCTTAACAATGACAGAACCAGTTCATTTGAAATGATTTGCTGTGGTCCAGAATTATTCCTCACTTACCTTATGCATTCAGAGCATCCTAAATATTCAACTCGATGAGCTTATACAGTAAACACGTTTCACAACTTTCAGAGGTTAACAATAACGAGCATGCCAGTCACATATCCTGTTTCTCTGACAATAAACAGCATAGATATATTTTCATCTCAAGAGCTGTTTATACACAACAGGCTCTCCCAAAAAAATGACATAATTTCGCAGGCCAATAATTCTGGCAATTCTTGTTGAAATAAGCTCAAATTTTCACAGAATGTTTAAAAACAGATCAAGATTTTATACTGAATATTTCATTTTTGTTCTTTTTTCATGTTGAGCCGTTCACTCCCAAAGAGAAGACATTTTGCATTTTTGTATCTGCTCACACACACTCACCCAAGACTGTGCAGACTTCAGTGCAACATTTAGAAAAACTTCACCAACTGGCAAACAAAATTGGACTTGGACCAAAAATGTAAAGGGGATGAATTTTCTGCAAGGCTAAATGATCACATATGTGTGCGAGCAGATTCCAAGATGCAAAATACCTTCTCTTTGGGAGTGAACGACTCAACCTGAAAACAAAACAAAAAATAAAATAAAATGAATATAAAATCTTGATCTGTTTCAATACATTCTGTGAAAATTTGAGGTTATTTCATTAAGAATTGTCAAAATTATTGGCCTGCAAAATGATGTCATATTTTTGGACCCCCTGTATATCTGCACTGGGACACATTTTCCTCAAATGCATGGGAAAAAAAACAAAAAAAAACCTAAAACAAACTCTAATACAGGTCCTTTAAGGATTTGAAATGGAGTGTATATTTGCGAGGCCACATATTTATGCATGTATTCCAAGCGCTGCCAGAGCTTTGATGTGTTAGTGGTGCTAGCACAAAGACAAAGCGGGTGATGAAAGTGCCCTGGCTCCTGCTTCATCCCTCTGCACCAAACGTGAACCGCCACGAGTAAATATACATGTGATTGCCATGGAGCCATTATTAGGGGAAATTAGATCAGTAATTACAGGCTTGAAAATAAAGTAGGAGTTCTTTATTAGCGGAGCGGCGTGCTATTCACCAGCGCAGCAGAGAGGTGCTTTAATGAGAGTGGGCAGCGAGCAGATGGCAGGACGCGCAGCGGTTCCAAGATGGAGTCTCCACGATTAATGTAGCGCTGTCTGTTTCCAGCAAATATACTTCCCACAGACAAACGCATGCAGGAGCTACTATTGGCAACAGAGTCATGTCCTATATGATTTATGTTGTGTCCGTGTGCCGTCGCAATGCATCCAGCGCTGTGATAAGTCCAATGTGCTTATTTGAGTAGAAATGCATGAAGGGTTTTTAAGGGGCTTTCATTGTAGTTTCTGCTAATGCTGCAGGATGTGTCCTAATCAAATCAAACTTGTAATTTGAATGGTCGTAATTAGCAAATCACAAAGGCTGCAGTCATTTAGGTGATCGTTTATACTCACAGTCTCTTTGTCTGAAGTCTGGTATTACCTGCTGAGTACTTTAGACCTCTACACACATTTTCTGAAATGCAGGGCTCTGTTGTAATAATCTTTAGTAATTCATCTTTCAGTCTGCCAATATATTCATTGTCCTGGACTGTACAGTGAACACTTGTGATTGCAATGCACAATTTTTGTCCCCAAAATGTCCTTACGTGCCAGTCTCTGCGTAAATACTGAAAAAGATAGCTGTTGATTTGAAAACAATTACTTCATGACATCACAAAGTGGAACAGAGCATTTTGAGCTTTGACAGACACTCTGAATAATTCAGAATTATTCAATTAATGAAACAAAACACAACTCCATGTATGTTTTGGAGGGGGTAAAAATGTTATAACATGGTTTAGCTCACAAGAGGTGGAATATAGGACCTTTAAAATGCCTTTAGGAGAACATTACATGTACTAAAATGCACAGCTGCAATACTGTTCTCAAAGGAATTTTAGGGTTTGTAATAAACATAGTTTAGCAAAATTCATGGGGTGAATAGGAAAGTGAAGTATTGTGACCCAAAGATAAAGCCTAAATGACAATAAGGGTGAAAAATAAAGTATTATAGTGTTACTATAGGAGAAGTAATTAAGTGTGGCTGATTCATTCTTTAAATCTGAATGGTACTTGTGAGGAAAGTGTTGTAGTAGAAACTATGGAAGGCCTATATGTGACACCAAGGTCCTACCAAGCAGGTAAGATATAATAACAAGATATTCTGTGTACACATCTCCTGCACTGGATTTTTGAGGTTTTTCAAAAACCCAACTGTTCTAAAAGCTGTCAGTCTTTGATATCCAATAACCCAGCAAAGCACAGTGCAGCGAGCTTCAAGGACAACATATACATTTTTTTTTAGGACAATTATATTCCAGGTTTTCCAGAATTTCCAGGACCCTGAATACTGAGCTTAGCACTAGAATAATGTTGACACAGTCCCCCTAACCTGAGCTAGCCCATCGTAAACTGCAGCTTGTGTCTAAAGAGTATGACAGGGCAAAGTGTTTCTCCTGTCACCTGTGTGTGGTGAGACTGTGGTGGGTTTGGTGGCGGGTTTGATAGTGGGTTTGGCGTTGGGATAGCAGGAAGTTTAGTAGTGGGTTTGGAGGCGGGCTCGTTTTGGGTTTGGTGTTGGGGTGGTGTTGGGTTTGGTGTCGGGTTTGGTGTCGGGTCTGGTTTCGGGATGGCAGCGGTTTTGGTGTTGGGTCTGGTGTTGGGTCTGGTGTTGGGTCTGGTGTTGGGTCTGGTGTTGGGTCTGGTGTTGGGTCTGGTGTTGGGTCTGGTGTTGGGTCTGGTGTCGGGTCTGGTGTCGGGATGGCAGCGGTTTTGGTGTTGGGTCTGGTGTTGGGTCTGGTGTTGGGTCTGGTGTTGGGTCTGGTGTTGGGTCTGGTGTTGGGTCTGGTGTTGGGTCTGGTGTTGGGTCTGGTGTTGGGTCTGGTGTCGGGTCTGGCTTCGGGATGGCAGCGGATTTGGTGTTGGCTTTGGTGTTGGGGTTGGGGTTGGTGTCGGGTTTGGTGTCGGAATGGCAGCAGGTTTGGTGTCGGGTCTGGCGTCGGGTCTGGCATTTGGTCTGGTAGTGGGTTTGGAGGCGGGTCTGATGTCGGGTCTGGAGTCGGGTCTGGTGTCGGGTTTGGTAGTGGGTTTGGAGGCGGGCTGATAGTGGGTGTGGTGGCGGGCTGGTGGTGGGGTGGCGGGCGAGCGGGGAGTGCCAGGCCCAGCACACGGCTCTCTCGCCTGGAGGGGAGACGGCAAAGGGCGCAGGAAAAAGAGTTTGAGTGATGCCTCTGTCTGCTTGACTAATGAACAGTTCAGCCGGGGTCAATCCATTACAACCAAAAGCATTTAATTATTAATTACACCCAATCTATAGGCAGTTAAGGACAAGTGACATAGTATGTTTAATGCGCAACACAGAGCAGGAGGGGGGGCAGGTGGAGGGGCAGGAGGGGGGGCAGGTGGAGGGGCAGGAGGGGGGCAGGCTGCAGTGGCGAGGGCTTATATTCTGTCATTTGTGCGTGTCAGCAAAGAACTGAGAGGGAGCAGGAATGAGCGTGGCCAGAGCTAACATTAGCATACACCTTCATAAACATGCACAGGGCTGTGTGGCTGCAGGAAATACAAAGTCCCAGACATAAAAGTGGGTTGGGGGTCATGTTTTACAGGACACTGGGTAGTGCCACAGATAATGGGGGGAATTATTTTAAAGCTAATAATATGAGGGTGAAAGTTGAGGTTGAACTGAAGTGTAAAATGTAAATGTAAAAAAATAAATAAATGTAATAAATACTTTCAGTAGAATTTGTATTCAGTTCTAAAATCCATATTCTGATTTTGGCATTTTGACATTATCCATATTCAAAATGGTGCTTTTCAGGTTCTAGACTGTGATGATGTCATTTTTTCAGATGTGGTAAGAGACAGATTTTCATATTAATAACACTGCACTTTGCCATGAAATATCCAAAAGGTAAATGCACAAATGTTGAACCTGATCATTTCTGTGACTGAGTAGACCAGACCAGCTCCAGGGCGACATATGGCCCATTGGTTTACTCTGACTGGCCTGTTTAAGATCATCTGGAATTACAAAATAAACATATTTTATTACTTTGCCTCATGCATAGACTAAAGCTGCATTGCTTTTATTTCAGAAGTGATATTCTAAATGACATTTTTTGTAAGGCAATCTCACTTTTTCATTGTTTAGTCATAATATAAACTTTTACCAGTCTGAGCAGCGCGTCAAAACAATGACATTTACTGTTATAAAGAAATACAATTAATATTATGCAGAACTGAGTTAAGCATTTTGGCCTCCACAATATTTTGTTTCTCATGTGGTCACATGGAAGAAAAAATAAATAAATTGCCCACCCGTGGACTAGGCTGTAGAACTCACTGTATTACATCACAAATCTGCTTTTGAACTCTTTTCATTTTAGCTGTCCCCGTCTGTATTCAGTCATATTGGTCTATAGAATCTAGTGACGTGTTCTGAAACCCAGCAACATATTTCCTCCCTGTACCTCTCTGTGTTCCTTATTTAAGCTAAAGAAAAGTGTCCATCTACCTGTCCATGGTTATGTTTTGTTTAGTGTATTGAGTACATGACTGGGGGCTGTGGTGTTAGCGGTGTTAGCCTCTGCAGCATTGTGCATGCGTGGTGTGTGTGTGGTGCATGCGTGGTGCATGTGTGGTGCAAGTGTAGTGCCTGTGTGGTGCCTGTGTGGTGCGTGTGTGGTGCGTGTGTGGTGCACGTCTAGCCCCAGGCGGGTGCACAGGACCAGGGCTGTACGAGCGGGGAGCAAAGCCGCCTGAGTGCTCTGCTTCATTAGGAAACAAAATATAAGCTTTCCGGGCCATTAGGGCTGACTTTAGATGCAAAAGCACATAAGACGGCGACTCACCTCATCAACGATGCATTGGAGTAACTGGAGAGGCTGAAACACACAGATGTAAAAAAAGGGTGAGCTGATGTGATGAAAGCGGATCTATTACGTTAATCAAATGCAGTGAGGCCGAGCCGAGCCATAACAGATCGGATATGTTATTTTATTATGCTACCTCGTGTAATGGCAGCTGTTTAGGAACAATCTAATATTTGCCAGTGAAAATGCCATCGGAGTGGAACAGTCAGCCAGGATTACAGACATGCAGATCCAATAACACTCACCATTAAAGATCCTTGGTTCTTCTGAATCTGGAAGGCACAGAAGAGGCCCTATGTAATTAGCGTGTCATAATCAAGGCGATAAACGTGGACACATGATGATCACTGGGAGGAAAATGATAGTTTCCCCGTGGCAATCTGTGGCTCTGCATTAACACCATTTACATAATGAAAACACACAAATGTTAATGGACTCGCTCTCATTTGAGGAGATGGGGGAAGAGAGGCGCTCATGCTAATCTCCGAGCAGTGCTTTATAGCTGCCCTCCAGGTTCTGTCGATGACTGGAGATGTGAGCCGCCATGTTGGATTCACAGGTACAAGGCTGAGACAATCATTAGAGGAGAGAGCAAGACAGAGAGCTAATTACACAGCTACAAGGCACATTGGGATAATTTGATTAGAATGGCAACCCTTAAACAATAAGTACACAAGCCCAAATCAAGCAGGCTAAAGTGTAAGTTTAAGAAAACATTTCATCGTTTATAAGAGAAGCAATAGGGTTTCTTCTTTGGATTTTTCCTTTTTTTTTTTTTTTTGAACACTGAACAAAAGTTGCACATTTTTGAAATGTACTACATTACAAGATTACTGAATACTCACTCTCAACAAATGAGTATTGGCTGTCTGCATAGGGCCATGCTGGTTAGCTCACTGTGTCTCAAAGCTAATTCTATTTAAAAAAAAAAAAAAAGGAAAATATAAAATAAACAACCAATTAAAATTTAAGTAAAGACAGCCTGATTATTTTTATGTGAAGATGATTTCAGTTTGTGGTGTTATTTTTATATTTACTATGAATCAAAATTTGTATTAGTACTATGACGCAAACACAGACAAGTGCTCTGCTCTGCTCATTTATAAAGTCTAACCTCCACTCACAACTTCCTGTTGTGTGATCTTCAAGTATTTATTAGTTTAGTACCATGGAGAACAATAAGCCAACATTCACTTCTGTCAGTGTCAGTGAAGCCTCTTGTTAGATTTGTCAGAGGCTCACAACATACAAGAACATAATGTTTAGCAACACTAAGTATTAGAACAGGATTTACTGTAAATAATAAATAAATAAAACCACTGTTACCACCGGTGTTGGTCAGATTGCTTTGCAAAACTACCGATTACTGACTACTGGGCGGCAGTAGCTCAGTTGGTAGAGCATTCGCCCACTGATTTGAAGGTTGGCGGTTCGAATCCTGCTCTCGACATTAAAAAAAAAAAACATCACAGGTTGAGCGGTCAGATCCACTGACCCACAGGTTGGCTGGTGTGATTCCAGCTCCCACAGATGAATGCTGCTGTTGTGTCCTTGGGCAAGACACTTAACCCACCTTGCCCACAATGTGTGTGTAAAGTGCTTTGAGTGCCTTGAAGGTGGCAAAGTGCTATAGAGAAAAATTTGACCATTTACTGATTACTTCCTCTAAAATAATGTAATTACTATTCTGAATACTTTATTTCAAAAATAATTTGATTACTGACTTAAAATAAGTTACACTGAAAAAAGAAAGTATACAGCGGAGGACTTCTAAAACGTATAAAAAAGTGAATTCTTCACACTTATTACACATTTTAGCAGTGAAAAAAGTGACTACTACTTCTACTACTACTCCCACTACTACTCCTACTACTACTTCTACTACTACTCCTACTACTTCTACCACCACTACTACTACTCCTACTCCTCCTCCTCCTACTACTACTACTTTTCTAAACACTCAAAGATGCTGTACAAAGAATACAATTAACATATATACGATAATAGACAAAATATAGGCATGATTGAAAATCAGGCTGGACATTAAAAATAGACTAGGGTTTTGAACAGTTTCTTGAAGATGGGGGTTCAGTGCAGTCACGGATTTGCTGAGGTAGAGAGTTCGAGAGAGTGGGGGCGGTGATAGAGAAGGCTCTGTCTCCCAGGTTCAGAGCTTAAGTCCTACAAGGGAGGGACAGGAGCAGAGACAGGAGCAGAGACAGGAGCAGAGACAGGAGCAGAGACAGGAGCACAGACAGGAGCAGAGACAGGAGCAGAGACAGGAGCAGAGACAGGAGCACAGACAGGAGCAGAGACAGGAGCACAGACAGGAGCAGAGACAGGAGAGACAGGAGCAGAGACAGGAGCACAGACAGGAGCAGAGACAGGAGCACAGACAGGAGCAGAGACAGGAGCACAGACAGGAGCAGAGACAGGAGCAGAGACAGGAGCAGGGGAGGGACAGGAAGACAGGGGTGATCTGTTCGTGGGACCATGTGTGTGTGAGCAGGTGGACAGTGTAGTTTTGGGTCCGGGTTATTTGTTTAAAGTGGGATTCTAATCAGAGGTTGAGGTCGACGAGGATTCCACGGATACAGATGAGTGGGGATGGAGTGAGAGGAGTCTTGTCAAAACTGAGGCAGAAGTTTGAGGTGGGTTTGATGCATAGTCTGTATAAAAGAAGTGGACTAAATGAGTGTGACATCACCCACAGCGTTCAGCGCCGCTCAAATGAGGCTCGTGATGTTCACGGTTACAGGAGGGAATCTGGAGCCTGACTCTGTGTTATGAACACGATTTTTTTGACAAACAAAATAGCGAAAAAAAAATCTGAATCACATAGAGCGGATTAATATGAACATTTTAAGACCAAAATGATGAGGCTCACTGCAGCTGTTACAGAGAGAGGGACGAAAAGATCCCAATGTAAGTCAGTTGGAGCCAGGGTTTAGGAGGAGCCGGAAGAGCCTCCTGGCGTCTATGGTTTGATGAAGTTTTTTTGAATGTCTGTTTCGTCACTGCTGAGTTTGAGAAAGGTGTGTGTTTTTATGTCGGTGTGACAGTTGGACGAGTTTATGGATGAAGTGGAGATGGCGATATAGAGCTGTATGTCGTCAGTGTAGCAGTAAAAACAGTGGCCATGATGAGGGATGATGTTGCCAAGCGGGAGGATGTAGAGAATGAAAATGAGAGAATCAAGCACTGATCCTTGGGGGACACTTTGTGACAGGGGAGCAGTGAAGGCGGAGCAGTTGTTAATGCTGATGTTCTGTTGTTGGTTTGTGAGATATGACTGAAGCCAGGACAGAGCAGAGCCAGAGGTGTTGATGGAGGTCTTGAGGCGGGAATTATGGAAGTTACAAGGGAAAGTAACTAATGTAATCACTTTTCAAATGAACTGAATCGTGTAACGTTGGTAACAAAATCCTCAGAGTATCCACTCAGTTTGTCTTCTTCCTTCCTTCTCCAACACTCTTCCCTTCTCATCCTCATCTGACAGACGTAAAGCGGGATGAGAGAATTCTCCAGCTGCTGCGCAATTATCATCGGAACAACTGCGAAAAAAAGTCTGTATCATGTTTGTGTCCGTGGCGTAACGACAACCTGAGATGACAGAAAAGGCGGTAGCAGCTGAAGTGTGTGTTTTCTTCCAGTTGATGTAAATACGTTTGAGCGCCCCCTGTCCAAACAGAACACTTTCCCACCCCAGTTGTTTTGCTTTGTCCACAGTGCTGTAAACCCTTGGCTTTCTCTCAGTGCCCAGGTTTACAAGATGTTTTTTAATTCAGAATTAATTGTTCTGAATTAAATAGTTTGGAATTAAAATATTCTCCTTCGAGTTCACATGGACATGATAATTCTGACTTGAGGTTTACATGGAAAACACATTAAATCATCTTTATTTCATTCCGCTCAGTGTCTGGGGGTGGGGAAGCGTTCTGATTGGATCCAAATCGCGTCAGAAGGGTGACCCAACGAGCATGTGCTGAACAACCAGAATTATTTTTGAGACGTTTACATGATCGAGGAATAAATTCATTCAGCTTTAAAATTGGAATGAACCACTCATTGTTTACATGGTCTTTTTAAAGCGGAATACATTTTTATACTGAAATAAATTACTTTTATTTGGAATTAAAGCTCTCATGTACCGTATTTTCCACACTGTAGGGGGCGCTCATAAACCTCCAACCCCATCAAAAAAACAACTGCGCCCCCCACAATCCAGAGCAACCTATACATGAATCCACTCGGGTGTCCCAGCACGACTTCAGTAAACTACAAAGCCGCACCACCCAGAGAACACACAAACACACACGGAGCAGACAGCGACCGAACAGCGAAACACACCCACAGACACACTCATCACTCCACACCGACAAGGAACGGAACAGAGGAACAAACCGAAAAAGCGAGTGCAATGTGCCACTTCTAGACACAACTGAACAACTGAGTCACTGCGAACACGCCGACAATCCAGCGATCCCAGACAGCACCCTCCCTACACGCCACAACTGAACAAAGCCCAGAGTCACCGTGAACGCCACAAACAAACAAAACCACTCACCCATCACACTGTTGGGTTTCCTTTAAAGTCCAGTGTGGTTTATTTGTGAAAAAAGTTCAAAAATAGACCATTTAATGACAGTGCATCTTATAATCCAGAGCGCCCTATAGTGTGAAAAATATGGTAAAAGTGGCAAATGAGTTTCATGAAGTCTCCTGAAATGGTTTTCAGAGCTGGGTTTCATCATGGTCAAGAAATGTCAAAAGTGCAAATTAGGGTTAGAAACACAGAGTAAAGTCTATTTTAAAATCTAAAACAAGAGTTATTTGATCTGATTAAATTTTTTGTTAGCTACATTCCACATTCATAGTTCTGATGCTCAAGTGAGAATGTAAAAATCATGGAAATAAGAAGTATGTCCAAACGTTTGACTGTTTGTGCGTGTTTCGAACAGGTGTAGATGGTCTGTTACTATAGTTACGGTCTGACATTTGGACACCTCACTGACAAACACCATTAGTTATCTCTCACCAAGCAGAGGGAGGCAGAGCAGAGAGCACGCTGCAGACTTCCAGATCCCACTTCACTTTGTGTGGAAATAAATTGCACATTTTAGCCGTTGCTTTGACAGTGCATTAAAGCGCTTATTGATTCACTCAATTAAATACAGGTTTGCATAGTCTGTAAATACCAGGAGACACTTAAGGCGCTCCACATCCAGTTTGCCTGATTCAGATGCATTAGAGGCAACTATAGAAAAGTCATTTGTTCAGAAATAATTACTCGGACCGAATTGCAAGCTGTTCAAGTTGAAATTGGATAGTGGAGGAACAAGTTATTCAAGCATAATTGCGTAGTTTTTCTTCTTGTATGTGGCTTAGTTAGACATTAGAGTTTTAATACATCTGCACCTCAGTCCCCTCTCTATTATGTGAGTAATCTAATACAGAGATGCACACACATGCTGGGTTTCCATGCTTGTTGGGGCACTGGGTAGTATATCCATCTTTAGAACTTTTGACTATTGTAAAATGATTCAGTGATTCATTTGACTAAAAGGAAGGGTATAAATCGTTTGGAGAAAATATGTAATTGCGATTTTTCTGACAAGCATTGACTGTTTGATTAGATTTGCAATTTATGTGTAATAACAAGTTCAAAGGAGGACTGCCATAAAAAATGAAATGTAATAAGACAAGACTGAGCTTGGAGAAGAGCCGCTGCTCGTCCACGTGGCTCAAGCATCAGCTCTGGATGCCTCCTGTGTGGGCATGTCCCACAGAGAAGAGGCCCTGGAGAGAGGGAAGTGTGGGCATCCCTGCTCAGGCTCCTGTCCCTGTGACCAGACCCCAGATAAAACAGAAGAAAATGGATGTTGGACCTAAACTACGGGGTAAATATACAAGAAAGAATATTTATTTGTTTGTGGAGAAAATTTTAGTATTTCAGAAATGTTTGTCTTTACAATTTGCTCATTTCTTCCGTTCAAATAGATTTTTATGCAATGTCCATTAATCTTGCAGCTCTGCACCAATCAAGTACAATCATGTAGTCACAGTCATTCTAGGGCAGACTGATAAAAGTGTGGCTGCTAATCTGCTTATATGGCCTTTTCTGATCACAACCAAACACATTTATATAATATGAGTGAAGTGTCATGCCCGAGGACACAAAAAACAAGATCAGCAGAGGTTTCAATGAGCAACCTTTCCTACCCAAACCCAGCCCATCTAAATCTGTTGCTGCAAGTTCAGCAACGAACGCATCTGAAAAGTAGTGCGGTGGTAAACTTTACTTTAGACGTCTTTTCAGAAGCAAAAAATAAAGATCAACATTATGATCTGGTGAATAAATTAAAATGTAATGGGGGTTGATGAACCTTACAGTGTTTTAAGAAGACATGCCAGTGAATTTAAGAAAGTGTGACAAAAACCAAGAGCCACGAAAACAGGGAGAAAACAAACGGCAACAAATCAATCAGGGACAGAAGTGCTGGCGGCTGTATACACATCACACTCAGCTCTGAAGTCTTCAAAGACTTTCCGAGCGAGCCGCGCACAAACTCCATTAACTCCTGACAAAGTATGCAAATGAACGGAGCATGTGGCGAGGGGGATTAAAGACACCAGCTCTAATCATGACAAACGCAAGGGGACGGCAGCACAGCCAACGCACGCGCTCCCAAACTGTCACACAGACATCACACTCAAAAAGCCAGTAAATACAAATGTAAAGATGCACAGAGTTACAGGGAGTAGTGCTCCTAAAGATGGCCTAGATAATGCTGCAGGATTATTCACCATCAAATTGAAATCACAACACACAAAGGCAGCAGTTATTTAAACAACACATTGTACTTTAGTCTGCCAGTGGTTGTTGGGCGCAGTAGTGGTTGTTGGGCGCAGGAGTGGTTGCAAGTGCAGTGCTTCTCAATTATTAGGACGAAACATCTCACGTGACTATAAATGTACCTATAAAAACCTCTACATGCCATAATGACGCCAACAATTAAAGTACAGTCACAGCGGGATGATTGTCGGCAATACGGCACGTTTTCGCACAGCGGCTTACAGAGTGATTGGGGTGTAATGTATTTAAACGCATGCGCGTCTTCTCATCCCTGTTAAATATGTTTTCCAGTTGAGGGTCTGCACACTTCTGTCTACACTTCATACTCAAAGCACAGTGCTCCACACCACACACTGCGCACACTCTGCCAAAGCCACTAATGTAGAAGTGCAGCACACTAAATCAGACCAAAGCGTCAAAGCGTCCACTTTCTATGTAAAGATGTGCGACAGCGTCCTGCGTTTTTGCGGCGCGTTTTCGGCGTCAGCGCGGCGCGAATCTGGCGTCAGCGCAGCGCGTCTTCAGCGTTTTGGCGTCAGTGGCCAAGACGCGCGTCCAAGGCGTCAGCGTCAAGAAGTTGAAAATGCTGAACTTTTCGCGTCAGAGATCAATCAGGGACGAGTATCCAGAGACGCAGCGACGTTATTATGAACCACAAACATAGCGGAGAATAAATAATACGATGCCATAGATACACCAGGACTGACTAAACAGATAGAAGACTCGAGACAGACACCACAAATTAAAGGACCAGTATCACAACACACATTAGTATAAATTAAAACAGTTCGACCCGACTTTGATGTTTTATGTCATAAACAACTGACATTGTTTCGGGAAAAGAGCGGGACCGGGCTCTTGTTTCCAGGGCAACGGACGCGCGTCAAGTATTTTTGTCCCGTCGTCCACGGCGTCAAAGATGCGCGTGGTCCAAACTTGCAAAGGTTAGAGGCGCGCGTTTTTTGACGCTTTGGTGTGAACGGTTGGTTGTGCATTCCCGAGGTCAAACGCGCTTGACGGAGTGGTGAGAAGCACTGCATTAGTGGGTGTTGGGTGTAGTAGCAGTTGCTAGATGTAAGTATTAGGGGTAGTGCTGGGTGTAGTAGTGGGTGTTGGGTGTAGTGTTGGGTGCAGCAGTGGATCTAGTACTGGGTGTAGTAGTGGTTGTTGGGTGTAGTATTGGGTGTAGCAATTGGTATTGGGTGTAGTATTGGGTGTAGTATTGGGTGCAGTAGTGGTTCTTGGGTGTAGTAGCAGTTGCTAGATGTAGTAGTAGATGTTGAGTGTAATAGTGAGTGCAGTAGCAGTTGTTGGGTGCAGTATTGGGTGTAGTAGTGGTTGCTGGGTGTAGTAGTGGGTGTTGAGTGTAGTATTAGGTGTAGTAGGAGTTGCTGGGCATAGTATTGGGTGTAGCAGTGGTTGTCGAATGTAGTGTTGAGTGTAGTAGTGGTTCTTGGGTGCAGTAGTCGTTGTTGAGGTAGTAGCAGTTGTTGGGTGTAGTAGCAGTTGTTGGGTATAGTATTGGGTGTAGTAGCAGTTGTTGGGTGTAGTATTGGGTGCAGTAGTGGTTGTTGGGTGCAGCAGTGGGTGCAGTATTGGGTGTAGTAGAAGTCGTTGGGTGCAGTAGTGGTTGATGGATGCAGTATTGGGTGTAGTAGCAGTCGTTGGGTGCAGTAGTGGTTGTTGGGTGCAGCAGTGGGTGCAGTACTGGGTGTAGTAGCAGTTGCCGGGTGCAGCAGGCAGGCCCAGCGCTCAGACAGCTGTGAGAGATGACAGCTCTGGCCTGCGGCTGTTGGCTGGCTGTGCTTGACGAGCTGGATGTGCGCTGTGCTGCTACAGCCTGCAGGTGAACTGTCTGCAGCGCCATATGGACCAGGGGGAGAATTAACACTGAGATGAGGAGGGCCCGCTGCCAGATACCACCATAGCACCACACCACAACCACAGGAGCCCATCTCACATGTGCAGAGTTACACTTCACAAGAGAGACCACCAATGTAAACTAGGCCTGCTCATGTTCAGGAGATGTCAATCTTATTTAATTTTTGGATAAAATATTTAGTTTAGTTGTATTATTACTACTATTACTCAGAGGTGGGCAGAGTAGCCCGAATTGCACCCAAGTAAGAGTAAAAATGGATTTGTGAAACATAGTGTTCAAGTAAGAGTAACTGTCAGGAGGCAACACCGGAGTTATAATTTAAAGTTAATGTAAACTGAGGAAAAACAATTAAGAAAGCACAAAATCTGGTATTTTCAAAGTACAGAGACTAAAATGAGACAAACTTATATCATATCTGATGGAGCACTGCAAGAAACACAAATGTTCAAATCATTTCATATTGTCACATAAAGCTTTTGTCACTTGTAGACTTACTCACAGTGTAAAGAGGAACCAAACTCTTACTCTAGTAAGAGTACTGTCACATAGATACATAAATTACAAGTAGGAGTAACAGTATGCAGCTACAAAAGTACTCTGAAAAGTTACTCAACTAAATGTAACTGAGTACTACCCACCTCTGCTGTTATTCCAGAACATCTTTTCTATTACTTCTATACATAAAAATGGTGCACAGATGTTCAAGTACAATATTCTCAGTGATTTTGCTCACTGTTATTCAAAATATGAATAACTCATTCAGATCCATCTGATTCTAGAAGATCAATGTAAGATCATTATGAGTCTGTTGCTGGCTCCTTAAACTATTCAAATCTGTCTTGTAAAATTGTTGAAATCAGCAGATGGCAAAGATGGAATACTAAAACTTGTGTTAAGTACAATGTGCCTGGTTGCATTGAGTGAAATGAGGAGGATCAAGGGTAAGGCGAGGTAACTAGATGCAGATTGTTCAGCTGGGATTAGAGATAAAACCATCTTAAAGGCCTAATTAAGACTTGATAGGATTGGTAAGCAACTTCTGTGGTCGGCAATTACATTTGAGCTGGATTTTAACTGAACGCAGTGTGTCAAGAAGACTGCTGCCAACCATGTCTAAGGTTTTAGTCAACCACAGGAGAAAAAAGGGACAAATCTGTTTATACCACCGTTAGAATGGGTGGGAAAGAAATAAGCATTCAAATAAACAGAAGAATAACCCAGGAGCATACACACATAATGAGCTTGGAGCTTAACGTACCTGTGGGTATGGAAACATGCCTAGTGCCAGCTGTGGAGGAGAGAGCAGAAGAGAGAGAAATGAAGAACAATCACACAGTTCAAATATACTGCATAGGAATAACCTCAACCCTGTTGTTTAAGCCATAACAAAAGAGACATGCTAAATATCACATTGCCTACACTTCAAGGCCATTACTTTGGAACAATAAAAGAGGTTCTAAAAAAAATTACAAAAATCTAATTGGGGTAATTTTACTACATTTTACATTCTATTTTCTGATATGTTATAATGTACTTTCCTCCTCATAAACAGACCCGGAGTTGTGTTTTGTTTCATTCACATGTGTTTAACACCAAACCCTGGAGATTTAGGCTGTGATGTCATGTGGTAATACAGGAAGAGCTCCACTGTGTTTTTAAACTTCATACAACTTCAGTAGAATCATTTGCATCATTTCAGTCCTGAATTTGCTAATCTCTACTAAACTACAGGTAAAAGGATCTTTAAACTTGAAAACTACCACTACATGACATCGCAAGGTGAAACAGAAAATTCTGAGCTTTTGAGATGTAAACAGACTAATAATTCACACACGAATGAAACAAAACACGACTCCAGGTATGTTTTTGATACGGTAACAACATTCTAACAGGGCTCACAGGACTCAATTGAGTGAAATATAGGACCTTAAAACTGTTCGTGTTTAAATATTAATACCCAGGTGAAAATCCATACTATATATCAAAACTAGACACAAGTATGTATATTAATATATATAACATTTGAATTATTAATTATTAATGAATTATTTTTAAATTTGTATCAACATTGGTATAAGAGTATCAAGCCTTTTTAGTGACATTGTGACATTGCGACATTGCTGTGGCATATGTGTTATAAAGATGAGACTCCATTCATTTAACTTATATGACCAAATTCAAATAATTAAGTTAAATATAAGTTGTGTTTTATTGGCTAAATAACAACCAATCACCCCCAAAATGAAAACAGAATTGCTACTTTAATGCTGCAGCTCAGTTACATTTAAAGAAGATATATTGTTGTGTCTGCTATATAGTTATAATCTACACCCATAAATTGTTAAAATTTGCACATTTTAAATATCAATATTGATCTAAAATGATTTAATAAAAGAAAGAAGTCCATTAACTTCTGCCTTAAAAAACTGTGGTGCCTGATGGGAATCACAACAAAGTGCCACATGCTGTGGGCCCCTCCTATGGACAGCTGCACATCACATTAGAGAGCTATTTGGGCCAAAAGAGTATCGTGATGCTACAAAATCATAATTGTATCATCGAAAATAAACTTGGCGAAGGAAGAGCGTACGTCACAGTGGGCGTGTACCGGTGGAGCTAAAAACGGAAGAGATCGAAGCAATGACGTCTTGAATACAGAAGACTAAAGATTGCTCAAACATAAATGAATCAGTCTAAATACAACTTCAGAGGATCACTGAAAAGAGACTTTTTCACATACTAGGTCCACTTTAAGTTAAAACAATATTATAGGTTTCATAACGGTAAGCTGTAGATTTAAGGTTTCATTAGTAGATGAGTCTAGTGTGGACATTGTGGTGTGGTGAGGTAAGAAAAGGGCTTTTAAAGCACAGTTTCAAATAAACTTGTGTTCGTCTTTCATGTAAGCTTAGTGCACATTGTAATCTAAAAACACTCCCTCATCAAACAACACTGGCTATTAGTTAATAAGCCCCTGAGTGACCCACCTGCTGAGCACAGAGCGCAGGGCTAAAGGAGAAGCCTGGCAGACTGCGCTCAGGGCTAAACCTAATGTAGTGCTGTGATTTTGGCTGGGGGTGGGGCCACACTTCTCCCTGACATTTGAGGTGGGCATTTTTCATCTTGGTCAAGGGCAGCTTATTGGCAACATCACCTTATTAAAACGTCAAAAAGCCCCGGCGTCTCCCCTTGAACGTAAATAGATTTAAACTGGTGGTCTAAAGATGGCGCTTGATGGAGAGGAGAGGGTCTGTAGGCACTTTCGTTTAGCGTAACCCCACTTGATACGGCCCGGCGCTGTTGTAAAAGTCAATCTCTCTCATGTAAAAATGATGTGGATAATTCTGACATGCCATCTCTCCCCCGCCTCATCTATTCTGGCGGTGATTGTGTGTGTATTAGGAGCTATTGACGGGGAGGGGCTGTGAATCATCTGTTATCAGGCCAAAGGAGCGCCGCAGACAGTTACAGATGGGGAATCAATGGAGTCAGTGGGAGGACAAGAGAGCAGCGCAAATGAAAATGTGATTTGAAAACAGTGTGTCAGTCAGGTCTCCAGGGGGCGCCGACAAAAGACACGTGTTTATCTACAATCATTCATTCTGCCCGGCCAGCCAACCATATCCTGCACACGCATCAGAGAGTGACGCCTCTGTCAACGTCATAATATCTCTGAAACACGAGGTACGCCAAGGTTTAAGCAGTCAGTGCTCTAGTTTTGCTTATAACCAGAGATTTGATTCAACGGCCAAAGTGTAAGCCTTGGGATATTGCTGACAACGTAATCTTAAAAACGTGAACAAACTATACATTTGTCATATTTTATACTGTTAAAATACATGTCCAGGAATGAATTAGACAAGTGAATACAATTATGTGGCACTAGATTTAAAAAAAAAAAAAAAAAAAATTCATTTTTTCTAGATGGATAAACTGTGTGTTTGAAATAATGTTGTCACGATACAAATATTTGAAACTCGATTTCAGTACAAAAGAATAGACTTGATACTCTGTTCTGATTCCCATACCATAACGATAATAGAAAAAAATACTCTTTATTTGGAGAATAGAATGTGATTTTCAACATTATATAGTAATACTTAAGTTATTTTATATTACCATGTGTTCCATAGATGGTCCGTGTGTATACTAGTCTATGTGCTCTTCTACTTGTTCTGATACAACTTAACATCATTCTAAAGACATTCAGGAAAGGTTCATTTCTGTCCCGTAAATGGGACTTTTTAGTACTGATACCTGTTATATTTAGTTTTGATACTAGTTTTAATATAATGTGGTTTTGGATAGTTTTGACAACCCTAGTGTGAATCCAAACATTGAACTGAATACAGAATTAGATTCATAATATAAAGTTATAGCTTACCGAGAGAAAAAAACAATATTTTTACACAATAGAATTGGATATTTGTTATATGAACATTGTAGTTCTGTTGATTTTGCGTGTAGTTTTATAATAGTATGCCAATAATAAACATAATAATCCTTGGCCAAAAAGCTCCATTATGTCCTACTTATGGGATTTCTTTCAGCCTCAATAGTTGGTCAAATCAGTATCGGGTTTCAACACAAGTTTTAGTATCAATTAGTCTCTGGGTATTGATTTGTTGACAGGCCTAGCCTCTTGTCACATATGTTATCAGTGTATGTTACAAATATGATGCTATAATAAAACACAGAGATAACACAGAGCCAGCTGTACCTCCATAAACGAGATGCCCACACTCCACACGTCTGCGTGGATGCCGTACTGCTCCCCTGAAATCCTCTCAGGCTGAAACACACACAGCACCACAACCATCAACACTGAGGAGCCAGACCCTGTCATATGAGAGCTCTGTGGATGCTTACTTACAGCCATGTACGCATTGGTTCCAACATAGGTTTTGGCTATAGAATTCACCAACTGCAAAAGAAATGCAGACAATTATAAACTGAAGTGATTAAATATACGTCATTAAAAACCTGAAGCTCACACATGTTTAACACACAAACCCTGCATGTCTAGGCTTTATTCTTCTCTCAAACTGAAAACACTGATCCATCATGTGATGTCATTGAATGGTGATACAGGAAGTGCTCCACTGTGTTTTTAAACTCCATACACCTTCACTAGAATCATTTAGATTATTTGCAGTGATGGAATTGCCAAACTTGAAGCAACACCAGTTTCTTTAGCTTTGTTGAAAGCTCTGGTCTTCTGGTGCAGAAGAATACCAGAAGATATTCTAGACTCTTTTTATGGCAACAAATGTTGGTTATTCTAGTGCATTGTAAATCAGTTCAATTGAGGCAAAAAATATAAAACTTAAAACCACTGGATGACATTAAAAGGAGGCAAAGCATTTTGAGCTTTGGAGATGTAGACAGACTAATAATGGTGGATTACTCAAATGTGTGAATAAAACAAAACACAACTCCAGCTATGAGGAGGTGACATTATAACATGAAGCTCATGGGAGTCCATTTTGCCCATTATAGCACCTTTAATGATATTACTGTTACAATGAGTGACACTAGAATCAAACTACAGTGGACTTCTTAATTCACTTTTATTTAGATGACCATAGATGACCATTCCTATTATCTGTGGCAACTATCAATCTTTATTAAAATACACATATGTATATATATATATATATATATATATATATATATATATATATATATATATATATATATATATATATATATATATATATATATATATATATATATATATATATATATATATATATATATATATATATATATATATATATATATATTATATATATATATATATATATATATATATTATATATATATATATATGTGTGTGTGTGTGTATATACATACATATACATATATATATACATACATATACATACATATACAACATTTTAAATCACAATATTAACCTAAAAACAACTTAATAAAAGACACAAATCCGCTGAGCTGACTTGAGTTAGAAAAGTGCAGTGTCGTTGTAAACGTCACCACAACAACAAGTCGAGAAGCTGTGGGCCTCTGCTATGGATAGCTGCACATCACATTAGTGAGCAGAGGATTTTTTGAGATTTGTATCAAAATGATTACAGTGCCGAATCTTACATCACAGATTAAATTGCGAAATGAAGTACAGAGCCATGGGCATGTGGAGGTAAAAACTGTGGTTGATCAGAAATATGGTGTCTTGAAAATAAGCATTAAAGATTGCTCAAACTTGCATAAATCAGTTGAGAGGGTAAATGAGAAGGGGAAGTGACTATGGCTAAAAGCATGCACAATAGGTCGACTTTAAATGTGTTCAAATAAATACACAAGTTTGCCCTATTTACGTCCCTGCCTTACAAGGAGACATTAGCATTGTCTGTATGTGTGGCTACAAAACACATCCCATCAGTGACAAGCCTACGATAATGAGCCTGTGCTCCCTCATGGCTCTGTGTATTTTCTGCGTGCCCTACAGACCACATGTGTGCGAGAAAGACAAACTGAACCACATCAAAATGAGGACAGGACTTTGCATTTGGAAGTAAAAAAACATCACCTTGGAGAGACAAGAAGTCGAGGTTAAAAATGAATAAGTGTTTACCATACGGACATGCAGTGTTTGTGGGGCAGGAGACAGGGTCCAGGGGGGACGTGGCGGAGCTGCGTCCCTCATGGTTACATTACAAATAGCCCGAACGCCATAGAGCGCCATTGTCTCCTCAGCGCCCGGACTGCATACATATCAATGAGGCCGCGCGCCCGTGTGGGGGCCATAATTATAACAAGTGATTTTTTTGGGACGCAGAGGAACAATAGGAGGAGGAGGGGGAAGGGGGAGGAGAGCACCCATGGGAGCGCCCGTGTGTTTGGAGGTGAAAATGAAAGCGCTGATTGACAGGTTGACCATATGTACGCAGATCTACATGCTAAACTGAACGCCGCACAGTGCACGTTGGTTGGGTTCAGGTGATGTTATATTATTCAAAACTGCCCATGTTTTAAAATAGAGGTGGAGGGCAGGTCAAATATCTGTGGTATAATTTAACATCAAAATGTCAAAATGCACAGGTCCTGGTTTATAGTTCATATGTCTGTAATCACTGGACCTATCCACATGAAACAAAAACTGGCACAAAGTTCAATGCCTTCTGTCAGTGTAAATAAACTTTTAGTTAGAAGGTGCTTATAAGCCCATGTTACTTTCACTTACACCTATCTGTCCCTGTGGAGATGTTATTGCTTTGTTCACAATATTCTACATATATTCTTTTCTCATTCACTGAGACAAGCATGTGGTGCCGCTAGGCCAAGTTATATCTGTGAATAGGTGAGCTCACTCAAAATAAAAAAGCAAGCTTTTCAATAAAAAAAAAAAAAAAAAAAAAAAAAAAATCAGCTATTGAATAAATGCAAATGTTACATTGTGTACCTTTAAATATTTTGACACTGTAATATTTAAAATTGGTGTCACTACAAGACCCACTGTGCTTTTGTCTGTGTCTATAGTTATAATCTATGACCCTTATTTTATTTTTATTTTTTTGGGACGAAAATGACTTTGTGGCGCTGTTGAATCCTACGTGTATCATCGATTAAGAAAATAAAGTTGGAGAGGTAAGTTTATACAGAGCAGTGAGTGTGTGCTTGTGGCAATGATGACAGGGATCAGAGCGGCAAAATGGCGTCATGAAAATAAGTTATTAAAGATTGCTTAAATATGCACAAATCACTCCAAATACAACATAAAAGTTATGAAACGCCCATTTTGTAGAATAGGTCTACTTTAAGACATGAGATTAATGAGAAAAGTGTCTGATCCTTAACCAAACCGAAACAAATATGATGAAGTTCAACACATGTGAATTTTACCTCTATAGAGTTCTATAGGCCTTGTCCTCCATCTGGAAGTATGCATTAGTATTTGTACATAATGAGTGTGTGTGCGTGTGTGTGCGTACCTGTGTGCTGACACCAAAGTCGCAGAGCTTGACTTGTCCTCGGGTGTTCACCAGCATATTGGACGGCTTGACATCTGCAGAGACAAACTGTTTATGGAACTCCCGCGTCAGCACTTTGAGCCTGTCTGGATCAACTCTCTGCTGTTTTTTTCCTCATAACAGTGGGGCCCGAGGTCTTACTCACCTCTGTGAAGTATCTTTAGGCTCCACAGATACGTCAGGCCTTTCACTACCTGCAAACACAGACACAAGTTAGATCAGAGGTGCACAGTGGAACTTCTTGGATGCGGTGGTCCACCACCTGCTTGTCTCTATGGAGATTGCTATAACTGTCCTTACAATAATGTCAGATCCTAGTTCACACAGATTTTGGCAACAGCCCAGAAACATGGGTCTGTATATGGATTTGAGTTTAGACGTTCAGGCAGTGTTCACCAACAGATGGCACTACTAAGTGGTTTCAAAAGTTCAAAAGTTCAAAATTCACAGTTTTATTGAAAGCTTTATTGACAATTTCTTCACATATACTAGACATACAAAGGAATCTATGTTAAGTTTCTCTCTGCTTCATGTGTAGACAACGACAGGGAGAGCGAGAGGGTGCAACATCTGCACACGCCACCATTCAAATGGTTCCATGGTTTGTCTTTGTTTAGAGGCAATGCAATTTATGTTCTGTACTAGTGTTGTTACAAAAATGTAAAACTCGATACTAAGGAATAGACTCAGTACTCAATAACAAATCCTTCAGTGGTCCAGGTAGGTTCCATAGATGGTTCATAAGTGTATATTGTGTGTGATAAAGCTCAACATCATTCTAAAGACATTCAGGAAAGGTTCATTTCTGTCCTATTAATGTGATTTTTTTAGTATTGATGAAATGACTATCGATACTAGTTTTAGTATCGATTAGTATTTGATTTCCAATACTTTTGACAACCATACACTGTACTGAAAGCACTGTTCTAACTGGGGTGCTATGAATATAAATATGATTGATTCAAGTAAGAAAAGACATGTTGTGAGTAGTCATCTTCAGACGTGTGGTGCAGTTTGTCTCTGGCACAACGAGCTCAGACATAAGAACAGAGCAGCACCGGCTCTGAAGTCCTGCTGCGTCTATAGTGCTGCTGTAAGGACAACAGTGGCCAGAGCAGAGGCCCTCTCGTCCTCACGGGGGCTTTTGTCTCCCTGATAATTAACCACTGTGACACAGGAGGGAGGGACGGGAGGGAGGGGAACTGCGAATTAGAATCAACACTGACTAAATTGCTGTCATGGTTTGATTATGGACAAAGTTAAAAAGGGGAGCAGAGATGGGGAGGCGCTGGTGCAGGGGGTAATAGGTGCGGAGACAGGCTTTTGATACAATGTGTTCTCTGTCTAAATGATCCCAGTGACTTTGACTTTGCCCATAGCTTCACAAAACAGAGGCTAATTGAATGGCTCACACCAATTTTCACCAGCCCAAATCATTAATAAAATTAGAGGCTTCCCTTCAGAATAGCAGCACAGAGGTGAGAAGTCACAGTACCAGCATAAACAGTTGTTTACTGAAGAGATGTGTGAAAGCTGTTATTGTGGACGCAAAAACAACTCATTATTGTATATTTTTTTATGGTGTCATCAAGGAAATGATAAAAAAAACTAAAGTCAGGATGTGATACAATACCGTGTGACTAGAGGTGTCATGATTTACCTTTTAATAGGATGTGGTTAAAGTTTAAAGGAGACAGAATGCCTTTGTCTACAAATAGTTATACTCTACTACTATTATATTTTGGACATTTTAAATTGCCATATTAATCTACAGCAGTCTAAGACAGACACATGAGACAGAAAACTGCAGCACTGATCCTTCTGAATTCTATCACTGTTTGGAATCTTTTTCTTTTGGCGTCTTGAATACAGAAGAATTAGGATTACTCAAATATGCATGATGTACTCTAAACAAAACTTTGAGCGTGTAAATGAGAAAGGTAAACAATTATTATGACATGAATAAAAGCTCTTAAAAGTATCTTTTAAAAAAGATGTGTCCTTTAACAAAGATGCTGGTAATACAATTAAATTAAACAATGGAAGTTTCTCAATATCTAAAATGTTCATGAAATTATAAATCAATCCTAAAATTAGTTTGGAGTTTTTTGCTCATTTTTTACCATCATATGAGATTTTAACTAACTAAGAAGTGCAGCATGTGCAGTTCAAAGGACAGACGTAAGGGACTGTTGGACTGTGATTGTCTTTCCCATAATCATGGAGACAGTACAAGGAGCTAGCTAAGCTAATGAGCTAGCTTTGAGATACCACATGTTTTTTTTTTTACATCAAATGTGGCAGCAGATGTGGCAGGAGAGCCTTCAGAGGAAATACTTTGAGGGAATTAAGATTTCATGAGAAAAGGAAACACCAGAGTTGAGTAAGGATGAGACCTTTCCTGTTGTGTTCACCTGGTTCCCCCTGGACACTGCTGTGACGGTGCAGGACACAGACACGGGGGACACAGCATCCCCTCTGACCAGTCCGACCCTGCCCTACCAGCCCAACCCTCCCCGACCAGCCCAACCCTCCCCGACCAGTCTGAAACTCCCCGACCAGTCTGAAACTCCCCGACCAGTCTGAAACTCCCCGACCAGTCTGAAACTCCCCGACCAGTCTGAAACTCCCTGAAATTTCGACTCTCTCTGACCAGTCCAACCCTCCCTGACCAGTCTGAAACTCCCTGAAAAGTTTGACTCTCTCTGACCAGTCTGACCCTCCCTGACCATTCCAACTCTACCTGACCATTCTGACTCTCCCTGACCAGCCCAAATCTCCCTGACCATTCCAACTCTACCTGACCAGTCCCAGTCCAACTCTCCCTGACCAGTCTGACTCTAACCATCATTAAAGATTGTGATGATTAAAATCAGTAACTACTTTTTCATTTTCAGAAAGTCAGCACAGACCTAATTTAGATATAAATCCACTGAATTTTCCAAAATACAACAAAAACTTACTGCCACAGCGATCCTCCCCAAAACATGTTCCGGTATCCTCTTGTACACGTCCAGTGACCCTCCTGCGGCACACACAAGAGTTTTCACTAAACTTTGGTGGTGTAAAGAGAGCAGCGGTGGGACAGACTTTTGCAGACGTGTGAAACATGGGAATCAGAGCATTAAGACACAGTTGAACAAGCACAGGCCCAAAGACAGCGGCGCTTCCAGTTCACACCGGTCTAAACACACATGCTAACAAGTGCACTTAAGTCTGCACCATCGCGCCCTTGTACCTTTTAGCACACATGCACGCTACGCCGCTAACACTCTTTTAAACTGCACAAGTGTAAATGGGTACAGAGTAGGTGTGGACAGTCGTTCATAACTCGTCTAAAAATGTGAAGTTTGACCTCCACAAACTCACCGTCCATAAACTCAGTGCAGATGGAGATCCTGTTCTCCACAAAGAAGGCCCCAAAGAAGGTGATGATGTATGGAGAATCACACTGGAAGTAAAAAAGTAAAAGTATGAGTCCAACTCCTTTAATAATCACTTCTACAGAAACATTTCAATGACGGATTTAGAATGGCCATTTCATCATATCTCTATAAAATGTTTTGAAACACATTGGACGAGAAGGACTCGTTCAGATTTCAGTGTTTCCAATGTCCTCCAGGATATATTCAAAAATTATTTGTGTCATTCATTCTCAAATCCACCTTTGTTATAAAAATAAATTATACTAGGACATCTCATTTGAGATCAGCCCACACGACATTGAAGCAGTTAGCAGCCATTTAATGGCCTGAGTACTTCTTACATTCCATTCTTACATTACATTAAATCTAATGATTAGCTTCAGTGTTTTAAGTACTCATGGCCTGCACTACAGTATGATTTACTGTCAGCAGTGTATAGACTATAGTCTGACCTTGTAGAGAATTTCTAACTCAGACATGATCTGTTTCTGTAACTCCACTGTGATGTCCAATGGAATGACCTGCAAACACACAAGACACAGCCATGAAGCAAGCAATCATTTATTTATCTGGACAAAATATGACGTGCCAGCATATAGCATTTACCTTGACAGCTAAAACCCGCTTGTACGATAGATGATATGCTCTGCAAAAAAGAGAAATAAAGCTTTACAATAATCAGTATTTGCAGACTAAAGACACTAAAGACGCTGAAGGTTCTGAGTGTGGTCTTCATGTGCAAAGAAAACAAGTGTGCACAAACCACACATAAACCTCTGTATATAAACTGTACTGGACAAACAAGTTAAGGTGAGCAGCAGACTATTTGTATATATCAAAGCACAAGTGCAGTTTTTTAGTTACAAAATTATCCGATTAAACAGTGTAATAGTTTGTAGAGCACATGATCAGAGGGCTCCTTGTCAGGACATGGCCTACAAAGATTCACAGATTCAGCTAAACACAGGTCCAGCTGTCACTTCCTGTGTCTAATGGTACGGAACAGTCCAAAGCCTGCCTGACCACTACAGATGGGCCATTACCAGCTCTAGACACAGGCAGCCAGAGCACCACTGAGACATCACAGGACTCACCTGTGCACCACTTCTTCCTTTTTGTACAGGAACTTAAAAATATGGGCTACCCAACTTTTGTAAATGTTAAATGTGTGTTTTTGTTCCCCAAACACTTATATTGGATGTAAAAGCAGCGCTATGCACCTAAATTAGACCTCTGCACGCTGTCTGCATCCAGCTGGATCAATCCCAAACCCAGAAGAAAAACACACAAGTGCGGTTAGGACTGAGTGAGGGCTGCTGGTTCACCCTGCGTCACTTCATTGGTCAATAAACCTCAACTAAACATGTGCACATGTAAGACAAAAGGGTTTGTGAGCGCTATAGACTAGTAAAGACACATTTACACCTACGTCCTCTTTTTACAGCTTGAATAAAATAGTCCATCATATTTGCATGAACTTGAATTAGGGCTCATGTTAATGAACAGGTGTGCTGTCATTTTATAAAAGTAGATGTATTGGAGGCTTTATCAAGACAACTACAGATACAGCCCTTTCTTAGAAGCCCATGAGGCAGGTAAAACAACACTACTCTGGATTACAGCTCATTAGCTCAAAGTAACAGTGCAGTCTGCAGTGTCACCTAAACTGGCATTACCAAAACCTGAGTCATTTTTCCTCAAGGTCAGAGTTGACAGAGCCAGACAGGGCCGGGGCACTGGTTCCAGACAGAGTTTTGAGTTGCACGCGCCCCTATAATGATTTAATTATCCAACTCCTCAATGCCAGGCCTCTTCTTTAGTTACAGCAGTCAGAGGTTAGCTTACAGCACTAGTTACACAAGCACTGGCCCTGAGTGTGAAGGGCGCCCAGGGGCCAGCAGCTGTCAGCTCTGGCTCACTACGGGGGTAGCAGACCAGGGGACTGAACGTGATCTGTCCACCACGTTAGCAGTAGACTAGGGGAGTGAATGTGATCTGTCTGCCGTTCTAGCAGCAGACCAGGGGAGTGAATATTATCCCAGGTTACACTCTGTCCTCGGTTCTAGCAGCAGACCAGGGGAGTGAATATTATCCCAGGTTACACTCTGTCCTCGGTTCTAGCAGCAGACCAGGGGAGTGAAGGTGATCCCAGGCTGCGCGCTGTCCACGGCCTGCCCTGCTGCAGTGGACAGGTATGCTAACAGGTGTGATTAATGCATCTTAGACTGGCATATCACATTACCGTGCGGCCAGACACCTCCAAACCAGAGCGGCCCTTTAATTAACAACACCCATTAGAGTCATGTCAGGTGGTTTACAGTCCAGGACAGGAACTTACTTCAATGTGTATGGAAGAAAGTAGCTTTTAGCAAGACTTAATACTCTGTTTCTCACTTTCATAGCTACTTTTAAAATTTTTAATTTAAATGCATCACAGTTGATCCCAAAAGAACAGAACTCACACATGTGGTTATTAGTGCGTTTTCGATCATGTTTCATCACCTGGTTTGAGTTGTCTGGGGCTGTCAGTGTATGTTTTGTTACCTTTTGTGTAAGAGCTCATAGGGAAAGACAATGAGAAATATCTCTGGATAAAATGTTATTCTGTGTGACATCAATGTTGCAATTGCTGACACGGGGATATGCAAAATGGCAATATTTAAGTATATTGTAAATAAAAAGTACTTAATCTTTCACTGTAATTTTGTGATCCATTCACTTTTTGTATGCGATCCAAGCCCATTTTTAATCACAGAGGTATACAGTATGGCACAATGGCAGAGGTTTAAGTATTTCTAAGAACAGACTTTGCAGACAATATTGCTAATTCACTATTAACATTTCACAAATCAAATGTTTCTTTTGAATACACTTAAGTCTTAATGTATTGTGCATTTGATTCTAATCTTTTGTAGAATCTGCTGTTGCCAAGCAGGTCTGAGGCTTGTTTTAATTTGATGTCTCAGTCTTCCTCTAAGCTACAATCAATATCAGTTAAGCATGACTGCAACCTCTTAATTAAGTGGAAGATGAGCCAATGTAGCAGGGGTAGACATGTTAAATACCAAGTGGGCAGGTTGGCTGTGTAAGAAATAGATCAGAGCAAGCCATCACCATGCTAAACAACATGTAGTTCAGTGGGAGTCATTTAGGCGTGCTAATGGACATAGCAGCCTGTGGCTATGTGCATCGACAACTCATTTAGCTCAGAGACAGCCTTTTGTACACGCACTGCTCATACATGTGTACTACTCTACTATTATACTACCAACACACTGCATTAGACATATAACAGTAATATCCTCATAATATACATGTCTGCTTTTACTACATGTTTAGCTACTGCTTACTTTAATTATAGATGTGATGGTGTTTCTCAGGACTACCACTCATGTTTTGTGTTGGAAGCAATGGTTTACTCCATTTTTCATGTATTTGAGCAGTATTTGTCTTGCCTCAGTACATATATAGTACAAGCAGCTCTTGAGGTCAAAATAAGTCTGCTATGTACTGTCTGCATCTTTACTGTTCGATATCGAGGAAGTTGTAGTGCTAGTCGATAATAATAACAACACATTGGATTTTTACAGCACATTTCAATGTGCAGTATGCACTCAGTGGTGGTAAGCTGCTCTTGTACCCACAATGGACCCTGGGGCAGACTGATGGAAGCAAGGCTGCCAAGCTGCACCATCAGCCCCTCCCACCACCACCAACACACCCACCACTTATATACTAGGAAATGTGGATGTGTCAAGTGTCTTGCCTAAAGACACATTGACAGAACTTGGTCCAAGCAGGAACCGATCCCCCGACCTTGGGGTTGGGTCTAGAGCATGGTAACCCAATCAAAATACGATGAGTTCTGACAAATATTTAGAACTTACTTTCGGGTTTGGGTCGGACTCAGATACAGATAGTGCATCAGTTGTTTCCTGTCTACAGTAAAAACACTCACTTTGAGAATCTTAAAGATCTTTTAAAGATCTCTTAAAGAAACTCAAAAGATCAGAGCTCTGCACTTCTAGTTTAGATACAAGTCAAAACTGAGTTATAATTATTTGTGAAATGTGGTGCAAAACTTCAGATACAGGATTTTTACAGCATAAAAGATTGGAGATAAAGTCCACAGGAAGTAGAGTCACTATTGCGAATCAAGCAGCTTCACCTCGATCCGTGCACTGTGTGGATGTAAACGAACACACGTCAACTACTTTCACCTTTTTACTTTTAAATAACTCCTCACACTGGATTACTAGCCCATTTTTGTGGACTGGATGTGATTATATGTGGAAAACAATTTCTATGGATAATGTGGATGAGATGCTGAACTTTAAATTTACTACTTTACGACAGGTGAGGAATAAAGTCTTTTCATTATTACCTCCGCCAAGGAGGTTATTTTTTTGCCGGCGTTTGTCTGTTTGTTTGTTAGTCTGTTAGCAACATAACTCAAAAAGTTATGGACCGATTTTGATGAAATTTTCAGGATTTGTTGGAAATGTGAAAAGGAAGAAGTGATTTCATTTTGGGGGTGATCCGGAAGAAATCCTGGATTCTGGATCACTTTTAAATTTTAGTTAACATTGTGGTAAATGGGGCCAAAAATTTTGTTTCTCAATATCTCGATTAATTATTGACCAAACCCCATGAAATTTGACTCAGGGATGGACAATCGGATCCTCTTTCATATTCCAAATTGAAAGATACGAGACAAATATTTATGGAAAACACAATTAATATGAGGGGGACTGTAGTCCTTGGCGGAGGTCTGCACTCTCTGAGTGCTTTTCTAGTTTTCGTTATGTCCTGAATTTGTATTTGTGTCCTTTAGAGGCCACACAAGTGTCACTAGGCCTATGAAAATAGTGTGATTTTAAATGTGTCGGGTTTGGACACAAATATCTTAATGCCTGTCGGGCTCGGGTTGGATTCGATTGCTGCTCTGTTGAACATGGGATGGGCTCGGACAGAAAAATTCGTCCTGATCCACACTCTAGTTGGGACCATTGCTCTAACCAGTGAGCCACAGTTGTTAGCTTTACAGTCACAGTGTGTGTGAATAATTAAGATACTTGTATAAACTGAGGAATAACTTTGGACCACTGCAAACCATTCAAAATGAACTAGTTGTTCACTTTTTAAAACAGTGGTTGTCTATATAATTTTATATAATATTCTCAAAAAAAAATAAAAAAAAAAAAATAAATAGGATGAAAGTAAACAGGTATTTGGTTGTGTTCACAGCATTCTATAATATTTTCATTTGTAGACTTACTTACATTGTCCAATAAAAAAATGAAGTTTAGGGTTGACAGCTCAGAGAAGTGAGATTTTGTTAAGAAGTTACTAAATGTACTTGAGTAAATGTAATGTTATGTTAGTTAGAAGCTCTTCCTTTGCCACAGCAGTCCAGTCTCCATGTCTGCAGGTTAACCCACGATGGCTAGACCAGTGCTGGGGTAGGCTTAGTCCCGTCTGTCCTTGGGTGCCTCGGGGTTGTATGAGTTACAGTGACAATCCGGTGACAGCAGCAGACACTGGGACAAGGTTACCGCCTCACCCCACCACACTTCCCCCGGAGCTGACCCCAGTAAACGTAAGCCATTGCCTGGATCTTATTTACACTCCAGGTCCCGGGTAATA